GATATATCGTATAGCGGGTATTTTCATGGTGCTTATTTTTGTGGATTTTGTGGTTTCAAGCTTCCCGCGAAATTGAAGTGCCATCCCCTTACAGGCTATGTAAACTGTCAACCATGAAAATTAAGCCACGAATTGCCCCACTAGTAACAAACCATGAAAATATATACCCACAAAAATATCCCACTATACGGTACATATAGATCTAGTAATCATGATTTACAGTGACATATCTATGTATGCATGTAATTTTAAACATCATTGTTATAGCAATTATTTATGAATTACATCTACTTGTGGGGCTAATGAATCTATTAATAATAATTATTATTGTTAATTTTGTTGTACATTACATGTAGTAATTACTATTCTTAATTTTAGTTATCCACCCTGTTGTCCGGACCCACCGCTAACATTATCAGACCCCCTGGATGTGAAAAATGCCGTTAAATGTTTGATGGAAGCTAAAAGACCACTCGTTATCATTGGGAAAGGTATGACTAGCAATGAATATTGATTGATATAAAACTGTAAAATTTGCCATTGAAATTCACAAAAATTTTCTCTATGACTGTACATGTACATATTGAATTTGAGAAGGCGACCTGATTTGAGCAATTTTAAATTGGTCAAGTTATAATTATACAGTATACTATTATCATTATTATTATTATTATTATTATTATTGTTGTAGTAGTAGTAGTAGTTGTTGTTGCTACTATTTTTAGGTGCTGCATATTCAAGAGCTGAACACGAGTTACGTCTGTTATTAGTAAGAGCTAATCTTCCTTTCCTCCCTACCCCAATGGGTAAAGGAGTCCTGCCTGATGATCATCCATTATGTGTGGCAGCTGCTAGATCAAGGTATTGTACAGTCTTTTTAATGTAAAGTCCTGGTCATTATTTAAAAGGAATTCAAATTTCTAGACAATATAAAGTACATGTACATCAAAAAAAATTATAACAATTGAGAATTCTCTTGAAGCCATTTTTAACAAAATACCCTGTACTATAGTACAGGGACTTTCGCCTGATTTTTGAGTAACTTTAAAAGTTCATAAAAAATCCAATTTTGGTTGGAATCAGCTCAAACTTGCTACACAACATAAGAACATGTATATGTATCAGAAAAAGTTATAAAAATGAAGATTTCTCACTTTTTCAATTTTAACAAAATCTGGCCAAAGACATTGTACTATAGTACAGGGACTTTGGCCTGATTTTTGAGTAACTTCAAAAATTCATAAGAAATCCAATTTTGATCCGAATCAGCTCAAACTTGCTACACAACATAAGAACATGTATACGTATTGTATAGTACAGGTTGTTGAAAGTGAAGTGCTAAATGGTACACTCTGTCCTTTGTAGAGCACTGAAAGAAGCTGATGTCATACTATTAGTTGGTGCTAGACTCAACTGGATACTGCATTTTGGAAAACCACCGAGATTAAATGAAAATGTTAAAATAATTCAAGTGAGAGATAGAGATAAATTATTACTAACTGTACAGGGTTCAATAATCAATCTTTTTTATAATGACATCATGGTTGTGGATTGTGTCACTAATAATAGATTGTGTCACTAATAATAGATTGTGTCGCTAATAATAGATTGTGTCACTAATAATAGATTGTGTCACTAATAATAGATTGTGTCACTAATAATAGATTGTGTCACTAATAATAGATTGTGTCACTAATAATAGATTGTGTCGCTAATAATAGATTGTGTCGCTAATAATAGATTGTGTCGCTAATAATAGATTGTGTCACTAATAATAGATTGTGTTACTAACAATAGATTACGTTACTAATAATAGATATGTTACTAATAATAAATTGTGTTACTAATAATAGAATCCTTATCCTTATTAGGTTGATATTAGTCCTGAAGAGATGAGTAATAATGTACCAGCTCATGTCATGCTCTGTGGAAATGCTAAATCAGTTATCAAACAAGTAAATAACAAAATTATAGTTATTTATAATTTTTTTTAATTTTAAAAGTAGAACATTTAATGATAATGATGCTGCTTACATCTTTGTATGCATGTACATGTACATGTGTACGTACCAATTATATTAATTATTTAGGAATGTACATGTACATGTTATTTTTTTTATTTTATTTTTTCCAGTTATTGGACGCTCTTTGTGATATTGGCTTTAAAGGTGTTGATCCATTAGGCAACTGGTGGAGCACTTTAAGAAATAAAATTGATTATAATACCAAACTTAGTCAAGTAAGTTCTTTCATATTAAAAATTTGCTATTATTAATAATAATAATTTATATTATTTGTTTTAGTCACTTGCTAGTCAAGAAAGTGTCCCAATGAACTTTTATTGTGCTTATAAACAAGTGAGGACATAGATACTCTCCCTTTTCTTTTTTTATTATTCTCTCTCTTTCCCTCTCTCCATGTCCTTCTCCTCCCATCTCTCTTTCTCACCTCCTCCCTCTCTCTCTCTTTCTCACCCCCTCCCTCTCTCTCTTTCTCACCCCCTCCCTCTCTCTCTTTCTCACCCCCTCCCTCTCTCTCTTTCTCACCCCCTCCCTCTCTCTCTTTCTCACCCCCTCCCTCTCTCTCTTTCTCACCTCCTCCCTCTCTCTCTCTCCTCTCATTTTATATTCTTTCTCTTTTGCCTTTTTCTCTCTCCCTGTCCTTTTTTACTGTCTCCTCTTTCTCCTTCTCTCTCAGATAACAGATTACATACCTCGTGATGCTATTGTAGTGAATGAAGGAGCCAATACAATGGACATTGGTAGAACTGTTGTCAAAACACACTTCCCTAGACACAGGTAATCATAAATACATGTACATGTACTGTAAACGCTGCATTAGTCCAATTATATATATACATTGGTTTTAAGTTGTGTATACATGTATGTGTACATGACACACAAATTTGCTAAATTAAAAAAACTGCCAGTTGCTATCAATTTAGCAATTACCGTATAGCGGGTTTATTTTGAGGATAACAAATTTCATGAATTTTGTGGATTTTTTAAGATTCGCAAAATTAAAATTTCCTTGAAAATCAATTTAGTACGGTACAAAATGGCAGAATGGGGAAAATTTGCGAAAATTAATTCCGCAAATTTCCAGATATAGGTCATTCGCGAAATTTATTATCCTCAAAAAAAAACCCACTGTACGGTATTCATTCAATTTAGCAATTCCAACTGTATACATGTACATGTCCATACACACTAAGACATCTTGGTTTGAAATGTGTATAATTATATTTTCATTTCTTTT